TATGGGCGCCTAGCAAACCTCAGAACAGCATTCCGACATCTTAATAAGGAATCGTTCAGGACCCTGTACACCGTATACGTTAGGCCCATATTGGAGTATGCGGCACCAGTTTGGAACCCACACCTAGCCAAGGGACGTAAAGAAACTAGAGAAAGTGCAAAGGTTTGCAACAAGACTAGTCCCAAGCTAAGAGGTATGTCCTACGAGGAGAGGTTAAGGGAAATCAACCTGACGACACTGGAGGGCAGGAGAGATAGGGGGGACATGAAAAACGACATACAAAATACTGAGAGGAATTGACAAGTGGACAAAGACAGGATGTTCCGAGATTGGACCAGTAACAGGGGACCCCAGTTGGAAGCTGAAGACACAGATGAATCACAGGGATGTTAGGAAGTATTTCTTCAGCCACAGAGTAGTCAGTAAGTGGAATAGTTTGGGAAGCGATGTAGTGGAGGCAGGATCCATACATAGCTTTAAGCAGAGGTATGATAAAGCTCACGGCTCAGGGAGAGTGACCTAGTAGCGATCAGTGAAGAGGCGGGGCCAGGAGCTCGGACTCGACCCCTGCAACCTCAACTAGGTGAGTACAACTAGGTGAGTACATATGCACCAACACGTAAAGGACACTACCATAGAAAGAGGAGAGGCTGAACCAGCGAGACTGGACCTAATATTCACCTTGGGTAGTGCAGATATTGAAGACATCACATATGAAAGACCCCTCGTGGCCAGTGATCACGTGGTTCTGAGCTTCGAATACATAGAGTAGACAAGGAAGCAGAAAGAGCAGGACAAATGAAGCCAAACTACAAGAGAGGGGACTACACAGGCATGAAGAATTTTTTGCACAGGGTTCAGTGGGACAGAGAACTGGCAGGAGAGTCAGTAAACGAGATGATGGAATATGTGACAACAATATGCAAGGAAGCTGAGGAGAAGTTTGTACCCATGGGTAACAGAAATAACGAGAAGACCAGGGTGAGCCCTTGGTTCACCCAGAGGTGTAGAGAGGCCAAAACTAAGTGTGCTAGAGAATGGAAGAAGTATAGAAGGCAAAGGGCCCGGGAGAATAAGGAAAGAATTCGTAGAGCCAAAAATTAATATGCACTGGTAAGAAGGGAGGTCCATCGGCAATACGAAAATGACATAGCAACGAAAGCTAAATCTGACCCGAAGCTGTTGTACAGCCACATCAGGAGGAAAACGACAGCCAAGGACCAGGTAATCAGGCTGAGGAAGGAAGGAGGGGAGATCACAAGAAACGACCGTGAAGTATGTGAGGAGCTCAGCATGAGATTCAAAGAAGTGTTCACAGAGGAGACAGAAGGGACTCCAGAAAGAAGGAGAGGTTGGGTACAGCTTCAAGTTTTGGACACAATACATTCAACGAGGAAGAAGTGAAGAGGCTGCTAAGTGAGCTAGATACCTCAAAGGCGATGGGGCCGGATAATATCTTTCCATGGGTGCAGAGAGAGGGAGCAGAGGCGCTATGTGTACCACTAACAACAATCTTCAACACATCTATAGAAACAGGGCGACTACCTGAGGTATGGAAAACAACAAATTTAGTCCCAATTTTTAAAAAAGGAGACAGACACGAGGCACTAAACTACAGACCAGTGTCACTGACATGTATAGTATGCAAAGTCATGGAGATCATCAGGAGAAGAGTGGTAAAACATCTAGAAAGGAATGAACTTATCAACGACAGCCAGCACGGTTTCAGGGATGTGAAATCCTTTGACACAAACCTACTGGAGTTCTATGATAGGGTGACAGCAGTAAGACAAGAGAGAGAGAGGGGTGGGTAGATTGCATTTTCTTGGACTGTAAGAAGGCGTTTGACACAGTTCCACACAAGAGACTAGTGCAAAAGCTGGAGGACCAGGCAGGGATAACAGGGAAGGCATTGCAATGGATCAGGGGATACCTGTCAGGAAAGCAACAGCGGGTCATTGTACGTAGCGAGGCGTCAGAGTGGGCGCCTGTGACGAGCGGGGTTCCACAAGGATCAGTCCTAGGACCGGTTCTGTGTCTAGTATTTGTGAAGGATATGACGGAAGGCATAGACTCCGAAGTGTCGCTGTTTCCAAATGATGTGAAGTTGATGAGAAGAATTCAATCAGACGGGGACCAGGCAGAATTACAAAGGGATGTGGACAGGCTTCAGGCCTGGTCCAGCAACTGGCTTCTGGAGTTCAACCCCACCAAGTGCAAAGTTAGGAAGATTGGGGAAGGGCAAAAAAGACTGCAGACGGAGTACAGTCTAGGGGGCCAGAGACTGCAAATCTCACTCGAGGAAAAGGACCATAGGGTGATCATAACACCGGGCACATCTGAGGCACACATCAAACTTAAGAACAGCACTCCGACATCTTAATAAGGAATCGTCCAGGACCCTGTACACTGTGTACGTTATGCCCATATTGGAATATGCAGCACCAGTTTGGAACCCACACCTAGCAAGCACGTAAGGAAACTAGATAAAATGCAAAGGTTTGCAACTAGACTGGTCCCGGAGCTAAGGCGTATGTCCTACGAGGTGATGTTAAGAGAAATCGACCTGACGACACTGGAGGACAGGAGAGATAGGGGGATATGATAGCGACATACAAAATACTGAGAAGAATCGACTAGGTGGACAGAGACAGGATGTTCCAGAGATGGGACACAACAACAAGGGGTCACAGTACGAAGTTGAAGACTCAGATGAATCACAGGGATGTTAGGAAGTATTTCTTTAGTCACAAAGTTGTCGGGAAGTGGGATAGTCTGGAAGTGATGTAGTGGAGCCAGGATCCATACATAGCTTTAAATAGAGGCATAACAAAGGTCATGGAGCGGGAAGAGTGACCTAGTAGCGGGGCGGGGCCAAGAGCTGTGACTTAACTACTGCAACCAGAACTAGGTGAGTACACACACACACACAGTTTGGAATCCACACCTGGTCAAGCACGTCAAGAAATTAGAGAAAGTGCAAAGGTTTGCAACAAGACTAGTCCCAGAGCTAAGGGGATTGACCTATGAAGAAAGGTTAAGGGAAATTGGTCTGACGACACTGAATGACAGGAGGGTCAGGGGAGACATGATAACGACATATAAAATACTGCGAGGAATTGACAAGGTGGACAAAGACAGGATGTTCCAGAGATGGGACACAGGAACAAGGAGTCGCAATTGGAAGCTGAAGACTCTCTATGAGTCAAAGGGATGTTAGGAAGTATTTCTTCGGTCATAGAGTTGTCAGGAAGTGGGATAGCCTAGAAAGCGACATAGTGGAGGCAGGAACCATACATAGTTCTAAGACGAGGTTTGATAAAGCTCATGGAGCAGGGAGAGATATAACCTTGTAGTAAACAGTGAAGAAGGCGGGGTCAGGAGGTGTAAACCGAGCCCTTCAACCACAAATAGACGAGTACAAACACCAGTTCTCTTCATTTAATACCAGTGCTTTAAATTATACCATTATGAATTTTTTTCATTTTATTCACGTCAATACATTCCATAGTGTGTTGATGTTGAAAAGTGTGCGTGTGTGGTCTTTAGTACCTGTGCGTATGTCTTCTTAAGTAAGTGTATGTGATATTGAAGAAGTGTGGTTTGCGTCTGTGTGTGTGTGGTCTTGAAGACCGGTGACCTGGGTCTGTGTGTGTGTGTGTGTGTGTGTGTGTGTGTGTGTGGTCTTGAAGGCCGGTGACCTGGGTCTGTGTGTGTGTGTGTGGTCTTGAAGACCGGTGTCCTGGGTCTGTGTGTGTGTGGTCTTGAAGACCGGTGTCCTGGGTCTGTGTGTGTGATATTGAAGACCGGTGACCTGGGTCTGCGTGTGTGTGGTCTTGAAGACCGGTGGCCTGGGCCTGGGTCTGTGTGTGTGTGTGTGGTCTTGAAGACCGGTGGCCTGGGTCTCTGTTGTATGTTTCATATTTTCACTGTTGCATGGTAAGTATTTTGTTGTCACTGTTGGTTGGTGAGTTTATTATAGTTACTTGATGTTACGATTGGTGATTAACATCGAGAAGTATGTGAGACGTTTCGACCACTATATGAAAGGCAGAATATAAACAGTGGTATACATTAGGTGCTACAAGAGCTGTGACAAGAAGTTCAGTAATGGAACTATTCAGCTTAGGATGTGTTTGATGAACATTTTGGAGATTATGAAGCTGTTTCGAGATAGTTTTAGGAGAGTCTGTTGACAATAATTTATTGGTTTGTAAGTGATGCTGGTTTTTTTTGTACTTGGTGTGGTAGTATTTATTTGTCTTGTGTATTAATATTCGTTGCATTTATTGTTAATTTTATCCCTTTTTTTGTGTTGTACATATATTTTTAATATGTGTGATAAGTGACATGCGCTGTCAAGGTGTTCCGTAAATGTCACAACATTGAGGTCCATGATTCGATTCCTGGTACGGGTGAAAATAGTAAGGCGTGTTAAGACACCTTCTGTTCCTGTTAACCTAGCAATGAGTAGGTACCTGGATGTTAGCCGACTGGTTTGGGTCACATTCCGGGGACAAAATTAACCTAATTGCTCGAAATGCTGTACATAACCAGGGGCTTTCTGTATAGTATGTCATTTAGGTCTGTATAAGTTGTATCATGTACTTGTAAAAATAAAGATTAAGAGTAGAGTCCAGATATTCTCTGTTTTTCAGGTCTTGACTCCTTGATGCCAAACTTAGAGTCTTTGAATTTCATATTTGAGTGTGGCGGTGTTATGATGCCGGTATTAAGTCCTCTCCTTGGCGAGCGTATACGTGTTCACTGATGCCTTGTTTGAGGCTTAGACGTTTCCCCTACGTATCGTTTATCCCTTGATTTTGTCGTGGGTTTAATGATGGGTGGTAAGTTATGGCATTAGTCTTGTTGGTGTTTCACAATATGAGTGACTTTTATTCTGGTTTTACACCTGGATGGTACATTTCTGTGAAAGTTTCATTACTATGTGGTATATGTTTCAAGTAATTATTGTGGCTGATGGTTTGATTTTTTCACAGGTTTCGGGGGCGACCATTTCACCTGGGGTAAGGAGCTTGTTGTGCTGTGTAGCCCACCGTCACTGATAACCCACCATCACTGATAACCCACCTTTACACCAAACGCACAGTGTAGCCCACTATCACCGATAACCCACCTTTACACCATACGCACAGTTTAGTCCGTAGCTTCACTGTTCCACAACACTCCTTTGCACGTATTTCACTTGACAAACGTCATCACTGTTTTCACCCTTACAGGAATTTTTTGTTTACTCCTGAGTGGAGATGAGCACTTTTGTGCTTGTCTTCACTCTCTTGTAAATGCTTATATATCGTGTACCGTAGGCGATATACTGGGAGCATGGATAAAGTAGATGCATCACATCCCCTGCATGATGCATTATCAGGTAGGATACAATAGATACAGTACCCGCAGTAGATGATATCACATAGAGAAAACAGTAGATATATACATTTCGGTCCTAGACTTTGGTCACTCCAACTGGGTAGAAAGACATGAGCTTATATGATCAGAATACCATCTTAGTGGCGGTGAGGTTAGGTGAATGAGAGCTCTTAAATGGTTACAAAATTGGGTAGCTGTAAAATTGGTTAAATAAATATGTGCGCGAAATGGGTTGAATCTGAGAACTTGAAGATTGAGACACTTATGCAACATTTGGGAATCTTTATTGAAGAAACGTTTCGCCACATAGTGGCTTCAGTAGTCCAGTACAAAGCAGAAAGGTGTAAAGAGAGGAGGAGTTTGAGGTAATCAGTCCCTCAGCCTGGAATCGATGTATTCAGTCCATCACTCTTGTAGAAAGTAAAAAAAAAATATATCCGGGGAAGTGGCTTATATGCTGTAGTCAGGTGAGTGGAAACAGGAGGAGGCGGGATCATAGTGGTACCATCCACTAGTTTAAGTAGGTCTTTGTCCGAAGGCTCCACAAGTATTCAAGAATTCCTTGTATCAGGATCCTATGATGTTGCAGTGTCTAACAGATGTGATAAATGGTTTTGAAAACCGACAAGTTGAAGATTGAGACACTTATGCAACATATGGGAATCTTCAAACCATATATCACATCTGTCAGACACTGCAACATCATGGGATCTTAATACAAGGAATTCTTCTACACTTATCCAACCTTTGGACGAAGACCTACTTACACTAGTGGATGGTACCACTGTGAGGCCCGCCTCCTCCTGCTTCCACTCACCTGACTACAGTATATAAGTCACTTCTCCGGCCGTATGCTGTACTTTCTACAAGATTGATTGACTGAAGAAATCGATTTTAGGCTGAGGGACTGATTACCTCAAACTCCTCCTCTCCTTAGACCTTTCTACTAAGTACTGGACTGATGAAGCCACTGTGTGGCGAAACGTTTCTTTAGTAAAGATTCCCGTATGTTGCATAAGTGTCTCAATCTTAAACTTTTCGGTTTTCAAAACCATTTATCAATTCCCAGGACTTAACTAGTAAGGGACCGCAGCATGCCTACTGGCTCTTACCAGGCAAGTTTTCGGATTCAGCCCTTTTCGTTCACATATTTATTTGTTTAACGAATTTCATAGCTACCCAAGATCTCTGAGTCACCTAACTCTACTTACACTCAGCTGCTGTTCTCACTATATAAGCTCATGCCTTTCTAACCATAGGTTTATTTGGTGTTACCAAAGTTCAGAACAGAAACGCTTCCAATAAAATGTTCTGGTTTTTGCAATTTGTGTTTTTTCCCATTAACCTGTCGGTATCACATTCATTGTTTACCAGTAGCCAAATACAACCTGTCATTACCTTACTACGTTAATCTTTTACGTGATACTCTACGTCAGTTTTTTGACGGTTCCAGTAAACTCGGAAATACTTTTTTTTTTTTTTACATTAATCAAGCTTAGATTACATAAACAAGGAAATATTTAAAAAAATAACTCGCTCATTTGAGAGCAACTTTAGATAACGTTTGTTTCGTCGTGGACCATTATCGAGTCAACTGAATGAAAACATTGGGAGAAGAACAGAAGACAACTCGGAAAACAAATTAAAATTAAAATGCCTGCGATACGTCTGACAGAGGTGGCCCAGGGTAACCAAGAAACGTTCGAAAATGCACGATTAACACAGGTGGTCCGAGAATGGGTTGATATGTAATAAAGATGTGACAAGAATACTAATGTTTTATGTATCTTGGATAACCACACGATGAATTCGCCACACGCTACAAAAATTGAGAAAGCTTAACTAATACGACTAAGATATTTCGCTCATAAGGAAATTGACATTGGACACAATATACATGGAGAGCAAACTCGGTGGATGTACAGGTAACTTTAAGACTGAGGGGAGTGGGTGAGGGTAGATGAGCAGGGAAGAGTTTATCTGGTTTCACCTTGAAGAAATGTGACATATGTACAGTCGTCTATGTTTTAATTATCTGGTAGAAATGGTGAAAGAAATGGAGGAGTGAGTAACAGGAAACTAGACTTCAGAAGGGAAAACTATGATGGCAAATAGAAATTTCCCAAGAGGTGCAGTGGGAAAGGGAATTGGAAGGCAGAGCGGTGAAAAAGAAGACGGGGGTAATCATAGTGCCAAGAGGCGGAGGAAAGGCTCATGCCGAGATTAAACAAAAAATAAGAAAGCAGAGAGTCCATGGTTCAGCCAGGAATGCATAGAAGCCGAGGGGCGTGTAAGCGGACTTACAAAAGAAATATAGAGCACACAGAACGGAGAAAAAAGACAAATAGGAGAGCTAAGAGCAGATATGCAAGGATAAGAAGGACATATGAAAATTATATATCATCAAATGCTAAAACTTACCTGAAGTCGCTCCATAGCAACACGAAAAATGTGATAATAGTGAAGAAGCAAAATTAATGGATGTAACAATGAAGAAATATGTCAGTATATACAGGTAAGTCGCTCCACAGCAAAATATAAAAAAATAATAATGCAGAAATAAGTTATAAGGATAAAGGATAGAGGGGACCTAGGGGGTGGGGATGATGGAGAAACCTGTCAAGAGCTTAGCAAAGATTCAGGAAGGTTTTCGCCGAAGAAATCACGAAGTTACCTGAAAGTGCAGAAACTAAGACAGACCAACAAGGGCTAGAAACTATCAGAGCAACAAAAGTGATAAGACTACTACAAGAGTCTAATGTAACAAAATTAATAAAACCAGACAACATATCTCCATATGTAGTGAGGGGAGAAGTTGTAGGAGGAGAATAACTAACAACCTAGTGGCTGGTAAAACCCTTGTGGCATGCCACATACACCATACATAGTTGGCAGTGTTGGAGCTGCCAGGTGTGTGTTCTTAATAATTAAATTCACACCAGCCGGGGAGAGTTAACATTAACACATCACAGATTAATCATACTCAAGCTGTGACTACTGATAAATCCAGTGAGAGATTGCTCTCGCTCATCTAGTTGTGATTAGTGATAACCCAGGTTAGGGATTTCTTTAATTCATCTAGGTGTGATTAGTGATAACTCCAGTGAGGAATTTCTTTTCCCTTTTCTAATGTAATCTTGAATTTATGAAGGTTAAATGCTCACATTTAGGTTTGATGCTACCATTTGGAACTAATTAGTATCTGTTCCCATCATATTAATTGTACCTGTAAATACTACCCCCTGTAATGCACCTGTAGCCACACCTGTATGGTACCACTAGCTCCACCTGTACTGCACCTACTCCTACCACTGCATTGCACTTTGAACAAGCACACCTGTACTGCGTCTGTCTAATTAAAATCCTAAGCATATAATAATAATGAAGTTTTAGGAATAAAATTAAGTATAGAATATAGAATTCTATAAGAATTTAGACATAAAAGCACTAGTTATGGAAGTTGTCATTAGATAAGTAAAAGTTAGAAAGAAATGTTCACACTTGCAACGAGGGTATTGAAAAACATTACCCACGATAATGTTTCTCTCGGAGAACTTACTAGTAAAATACGGAAAAGGAACAAATAAAGGCATACACACATGGGGTAATAAATATTGTAAAGTTGTTAAAATTTAAAAAAAAAAGACAATAGTAAAGATGAGATTGATAAAATCAAACAAAATTGATAAACACAAACAGAAGATGAAATGAAGGAGACAGTGCCACACGACAATGAAACAATCTGAGGAAATATTGAGAGAGAAACTGTCTTACTCAAAACAAAGCTGAATCTGTCACAGAAATAACCGTAAGATATTCAGTATGTAAATACTATGCCAGGGGATTATGCAGATATGGAAGCTAAAGAAAACCAAAAGCAAATAAACAGCTACTCTTACGTTTCGATAAAGAAAGTTGGAATTTTCAAAATGTGAGGTACAATATGTCACGTTACTAAAGAAAATTTTAATATAAGATGCCCAGACTTCTATATAAAAAAAACCACAGAACAACAAATATAAAAGATAAATAATAGAGAGCAACTACCCAAGTGTCACAGTCGTCTAGACTTGCTAATACGCTAGATTTAATTAAGACGAACAGTGAAGGACTAATTCAAGATATCATGATCGCAAATACAATTTATTCAGATCAAAACGTAAATTAAGTTTGGACAAGCTTACCTTACTAGTTTACAACAAAAATATGCGTCCAATATAAGGTATTGAGTTGGACTGTGTTGTAGCTATGTTACATACCCTGAGAAACCCTTATGGAAACAAACACAATAGCAAGCAAAGCCTGTATGAAACATGTTTTACTGAGAAAGATTAAGAACTTGTTGAGCATAGGAAGAGAACACAAACGACTTTACAGAAGACATCAAATAACAAAGGAAATAAATCTTACACAAGGAAATGTCCGAAATAAGAGAAACCTAAAATACTCAAACGGAGAAAATTCAATAGGAACTATGTGCTAACTAAAGAATCTGTAACTCAATTGGCTCCTTATACGAGGTAAATGTACTGAGCACGACGAAGAAATAAACGAAATCCTGAAAAAAATATGCGATGAATCCATGTTGGCAACTCGAGAGGAAAGGACCCAGATTACATATCCTACAGACTCAGACAAGAACCTGTCATAATAATTCACTCGGCGCCAGCTCTAGCTAGACTCTTGGAATGACAGTTATATAACATAATGTAAAGCATAAAGTCTGGCGCTTAGCGTAC